CCAAAATACTATTGAAATTCAATTCTGTGCGCAGTGAATCGCCCCTGTACATCGTGGATCATCCTTGATAGAAATTACTTAACAATTGGAAATGAACCCAATGTGGCATTGGTACAAATTATTTTACTGTCGTACCCGATCATATATCCATATGAACTAAGTTCCGTCAGGTACGAACAGTTATTCCATGGGTCGATTGTCCGACAACTGCAGATACGGTTCTAAAAATTTAAGAGTCGCGTGCTACTTCGTCCTGGGGTGCATTGTAGGTTCGCTGGACAATTATGTCCAAGACTTGTATCAGGACGGTAGAATGTTTGTTCGACGGGATTAAGTATTAACTCAATTTCCTAGAAGGATTATTAACTGATTTAGTTTCTCACATACAAAAAATTTAGAGAAGTTTGGAGCTTATTTATTTTTAATATTTTTATATAGTTTAACTGGTATTTTGGAGGTATAATCAGGAGGCTATCATATGACTTCTCCTTTGGTTAATCAGTTATAACTAAGAAGTTCAAGCTCTCATCATGCGATAATCTTTTAATGTTGTTGCGGCTAAGAAGTGAATATGTTGTTTAATTGTTTGAATAAAGTTTTTTTTTCTCTGTCGAAAAACACAAGGTCCACTTTTTATGCTAATTTTGGGCATAATTTATCAACGTAGCCTGACTTTGTGAACATTTGTTGAAAATTGGGAGAGCTTATTGAAATATGAATTCCATGCTTTTCAATTATTCTTGTAAAAATTAAATATTCATTTAGCCATTTCAATTGTTGCTTCCATAGTTTTTTAAATATTGTACAAAATTTAATTTCTTTCATTTGGTGAGATTTGACCTATAGTCACGATTTAAAAACAGGCTAGTAGAGAAAGAGGCGAGAAAGAAGAGCAGAGAAAGAGAAAACTTATCCAAGTTTGTGTTTGAGGACTATAGTTGACTTTTATGTTTTTCATTTTTGCTTATATTCTAATAATTAGTCATATATAATTTGAGGATTATTTTAAGCATTTTTTTAGATGAAAGCATATCATTACAAAATACTAAAATCATTTTCTTGTACCTCATAGCTTAGATTTTTAGGCATAAAAATGGGTTTAATTATTGATATAATTAGGTTGAACTTCGATCTCTTGTTCGATTATGTTCTAATTGGTGATTGTTAAAGTCTACAATTTGAGTTAGATCAATTGTTTAATATAATTAGACTCATGTGTTTTGGTTAGTTTTGTATCATATATTAATTATGTTTGAATCTCACTTGAGCCTCATAATATCTGAAACTTAAATAAAACTATTATCTAATAAAAAGCTAAAGCATATTTTATTTCGAACATACAATCATGGTGCCCCAAAAATAAAGCTAGTGAAAAATAATCACTTCAGACATCATTAGCTCGTCTTCTTTGGAAAAATATAAAAAGTAGAATAGCTCATTCATGATGTTAATTCACATATAGGAACCACAAACAAAGCTCCACTCTTCTTTCAAGGCTTCAAATAACTCAAAGATAGACAAACCAACCATTTAAAACAAGAGCTAAACTTGCTCTTCCATTTAAAATATAAAAACATGAAAAAGCAGTCCTCATACAGAATCAGAAAATATTTAAATGAAAAGCAAATAGAAACATATGAAGTCAAAGTTAGTCAAACTTGTTATATCGTCATAACAACATGGTCTAAACATGTCATCTGACTTGTTCGCCTCTTTGTTAGATTATGATCATGCTAACAAGTGTGTAGAGCCTGAGCGCTTTTATTAGAAAGAGGGACCATTTTTTAGTAATGATTTTTATTATGAGGTTGCCATTTTAACCTAATGCAAAAATATTTTAATTTTACATTCAAGCAAACCAAATATTTCTAACTATTGGCATTGTTTATCGATTTCTTGTCTCTGGATGGATCTTCCTCGGCTTAACTTTTCTTATTCTCAATATTTTAAAATTATGAGGCGTTAGAAGTCATATAAATGATGCAATAATTTTTCTTATTTAGCTCTTGTAACCGAGAGGAAGTTAGATGATAGTTTATGTTTTTTTTTTTCATGGCTTAGTTTTCCTATTTTATGTTTGGCTGCTTTTTTTTTTCATCAAGGAAATTTGATAATTTAAAAAGCTTAAAATATTATTTAACTCAATATTAACAGTTAAATATTTGAGATATTAATTCCGCTGAATAGTTTGAAATGTAAATAATTCCTAGGCATATTTGGTTCCTATGCTATGTTTTGCTTTAGGATGCAATGAGGTATTTTTCAGATCAAATGCAGCACACAGCTTAAGAAGCTCATGAATGCTTATAGTTCTTTCGAATAAACTCGATTAGATTGTGGTAATTAGTTGGTTGGGCCCAATTGAGTAATTGTGACCTCGATTTTGCTCGAGCACTTTCGTTCGACTTGATTGACCTTGTCGAGCCCAATTCGAGCTCGATTGATTCGAATCGATTTCAATTTGAATTTGATTTGATCAAATTGATCGGACCTAACCCATTTTAAATCAAGACAATTTAAGCCAAATTTGCATCCAAACCCAACTCAAATCAGCCTAAATTAATCCTAAATAAATTCCAATCTATTTTATTTAATTTGAATTATTTCCTAAAATCCGGTAATGGCATCGAACGGCTCTGATTCCCTAAAATGCGAGGTCGACCAGTTTTCCGCAGTATTCAGTCGCGTCAGGCCCGATTCGCTCGCGAGCTCTCTCTTGATTTTTCGCACACGCCCCGTCTCCCACGACCTCATCCGTTCTCCCTTCTTCCTCTCGGCCGAATCGGTCCCAAGGAGGAGACCGAAAATCTCCTCTCTTTCTTCAGTCTCTCCATTCCGGACTCCAGGACCGATTTCCAGACGCCTGGATCGGCTCCTCTTCCTTGCAAGGTGAGTATTTTCTTCCCCTTCTCCTCATCTCCATGCTTCCATTTCTTCTTCTCAACCTTTTTTTTTTTTTCTTCTCTCTTCCTGGCTTTCTTCTTGCATTTCCTTGAATTCTCATCCAGATCTC